ACTGCACTCCAGCCTGGGTGACAGAGCAAGACTCTGTCAAAAAAAAAAAAAAAACGTATTGTGTGGTAACAGTTCACCCCTCTCACCTCTCTGCATATGCAGCTCTGAGCGTCAACATCCACCACACGACCAGGCACAGAACCCTGGGCAGTCCCCAGCGGCCACCCGGTCCCCAGCACCCAGCTGCCCTTCTGACCCGGCCTCGTCCCTCCAGCTCTGCCTTTTCCAGAGTGCCACAGACAGGGACAGAAATGGTGTGTGCCCTCTCGACATGGCTCTCTCACTCAGCGTGATGCCTTTGCGACCGTGCTGCTGTGTGTCAGGCATCCACTCCTCGACGTTGCTGAGTAACATCCCTTTGCACCGCGTACCCAAGTGTCCTTGTCTTTGAGAGGCCGAGGTGGGCAGATCACCTGCGGTCAGGAGTTCAACACCAGGACAGCTGGGTTTCCAGTGGGTGGCGATAATGAACAGAGCTGCTGTTACAGACTGCGCATTACAGATCTTTGTATGGACACATGCTTTTATTTCCTTTGGACCAATCCCAAGGGGTAGGATTGCTGGGTGCTGTGTCTTTAACTTTGTAAGAAGCTGCCACCTGCCTTCCAGTGACTGCCGTTTGGAGTGGGTGGAAGTCCCAGTTGCTCTGCTCCTCCCCAGCACTTGGGATTGGCTTTTTTCCTCTTTGTATTTTTTAAGCCTTTCTGATATGTGTAGTGGGTATCTCGTTTGCTTTTAATTTGCCTTTCTCTAATACCTAATAATCTTGAGCACCTTTCCATGTGCGTGTATGCTATCAGTGTATCTTCTTTGGTGAAATGTCCGTTCAAATATTTTGTTCCCTTTTTTTTGGAGATGGAGTCTCGCTCTGTCACCCAGGCTGGAGCACAGTGGCGTGGTCTCAGCTCAGCGCAACCTCCACCTCCCTGGTTCCAGCAATTCCCCTGCCTCAGCCTCCCGAGTAGCTGGGATCACAGGCGCCACCACCACGCCCGGCTCATTTCCTCACTTTTTACTGGGTTCTCTTCATATTGTTGAGTTCTAAGAGTTCATATATTTAAATATTCTGAATAAAATCTTTGTCAAATACGTGATGTGCGGCTGGGTGTGGTGGCTCAAGCCTATAATCACAGCCCTTTGGGAGGCTGAGCTGAGTGGATCACCTGAGGCCAGGAGTTTGAGATCAGCCTGACCAACATGTAGCTGGGACTCCGGGTGCATGCCACTGTACTTGGCTACTTTTTGTATTTTTCGTGGAGACAGGGTCTCCCTCTGTACCCAGGCTGGCCTCAGACTCCTGGGCTAAAGTGATCCACTCACCTCAGCTACGCAGAGGGCTGCATTACAGGCGTGAGCCACCCTGCCCAGCCTCTACTTTTAATATATGGTTGAATTTGCCTGGAATTTTTTTTGAAGATTTTGTTTATTTATTTATTGAGACAAAGTCTTACTCTGTTGCCAGGCTGGAGTGCAGTAGTAAGATTTTGGCTCACTGCAACCTCCGCCTCCCCGGTTCAACTGATTCTCTTGCCTCAGCCTCCCAAGTAGCTGGAATTACAGGCATGCACCACCATGCCAGCTAATTTTGTATTTTTAGTAGAGACGAGGTTTCACCATGTCGGCCAGGCTGGTCTTGAACTCCCAACCTCAAGTAATCCACCCACCTCAGTCTCCCAAGTGCCGTGAATACAGCCGTGAGCCACTGCGCCCAACCCAGAAAATTTTTACCTATTAATTCAATTTAATAAGTATAGGTCTCTAGCAGCTGTCTGTAATCATCATGGTGAGTTTTAGTAGTTTGTGGCTTTCGAGGAAGATGAAAATTGGTACCTTTTGTTTAAGCAGTCAAATTTTTGTGCATGGAGTTGTTCATAGTGTTTCTCAGTAGTTCATTCCTTCTTTTGCTTCTGACAATGGCTACTTTTGTCTCCTTTTTTCTTTGTTTGGGTAGAGGTGTTACGAACTTTATTGATCTTCCCAAAAGAACTAGCATTTGGTTTTATTCTATTTACTGTGTATCGCTTTTCCGTGTAGTTGTTCCTCTTTGTTGTTACAAGTTCCTTCCTTTTGCTTACACCGGGTTAAATATGCTCTTCTAGTTTCTTAAGATGAACCTTAGGGCCAGGCGCAGTGACCCAGAAATCCCAGCACTTTGAGAGGCCAAGGTGGGCAGATCACCTGAGGTCCAGAGTTCGAGACCAGCCTGGCTGATGTGGTGAAACCCCGTCTCTACCAAAAATGTAAAGAGGTAGCCAGACACGGTGGTGCGGACCTGTGATCCCAGCTGCCTGGAGGCTGAGGCAGGGGGATCGCTTGATCCTGGGAGGTGGAGGTTGCAGTGAGCCGAGGTCCCGCTGCTGCACTACAGCCTGGGTGACAGAGCGAGGCTCCGTCTCAAGAAAGATGGGATGTTAGATTGTGTATTTGAATCTTTTTACTTTCTGACATAATACTTAATGCTGTACATATCATTCCAGCCCGGCTTAGCTGCACCCAGCAGATTTGACGTGCTGTGTCTTCATTTCCGTGACACTCAGCGTGTTCTGTGATTTCCTTTGGGACATCCTTTGATCCATGGGCTATTGAGGAACCTGTTCTTAGTTTTCCAGCCATCTTCTGTGATCGACTGCTCGTCTGACTCCATTTGGGTCTGAGAACGAACTAAATGATGTCAGTTCTCTTGTGTTTGTGGAGGATTTGTGGTGTGACCCAGCACATGGTCTGTCTTGGTTCATGTCACCTGTCCCTCAGTCTCTCTCCTGCCTTGTTTCCTCTTGCATTTTGTTCGGTCAGAGAGAGCCTATGGAATCGGTGCAGCCCCGGGGGAGTGGGTGGAGCCAGGGCCAGGGTCCCCGATGGAGGAGCGCCCCCTCAGGGCAAGCTAAGTCCTAGCGGGCTCTGACTTGATGCCTGACTTGTTTTGTGATAAACTGAGGGTGAGAATGACTTTAAGGCTCCCCGTAGCCTCAGAGTGTGATGCAGACACTGGCGGGCGACAGTGGACGGGCAGACTGCAGCTGGGAGAACAACCTGAGGGCCTCTAATGGAGGCTACTAGACAGGCTTTTTATGCTCACGGTTTAAGCTCCATGCCTGTTTGCCTAAAAACCCGGACTTAAAAACATCTAACTTGGAACTCAGAAAAATAAAGCGTCTGACCTGGGTAGGCCCATCTTCCAGTTCTGGAAAGGAGACCCTCTGGGTTAGTCCAGTGCTGCTTCGTGAGCTACGCGGATCCCATCTTCTTTGGGACAGGTCGCCCTGTGCATTACTTGGTCCCGTGCTCATACAGCCCAGCTGGTGGCTTTGGCGCTGCTCAAGTTTGCAGCTCTGTCTGCAAACAGCACCGCAGGGCCCTGCCCACATGGTTCCTGCATCCCTGTCCACACAGCTCCCCACCCCACCCCATTACCCACGTGGCCCCCCTACCCCATCCATGTGGCTCCGCCTCCGTCCGCCGTCCGCTGTCCTCCATGTACCTCCTACCCGCTACCCCGATGTCAAGTCAGGCACATTCCACCCGGGGAACTCTTGGGTCTGTCTGAGCTCAGTGCAGTGTAAATGATGTCCCCATGATCCCTGGAGCATCTGGGATGGGAGTGGGGTCTCCAAGGCCTCCATTTTACTCATGGGCCGACACGTGCTGAGGAAGCCCTGTGACGTCCTGGGGCTGCCCAGGCAGTCATCACCGGAGCAGCTGGGATGGGAGTGGGGTCTCCATGGCCTCCATTTTACGCATGGGCCGACAGGTGCTGAGGAAGCCCTGTGACGTCCTGCGGCTGCCCAGGCAGTCATCCCTGGGCTGTCTCCATCAGGTGCAGGGATGTGTGGGGAAGGGCCTAGGCACCTGTGGTGGCTGCCTTCGTGGCCTGGCTGTGGCCGGCGGCTGTTCTGCTATTTTATGTTCATACTTCGAGGGCCAAGCCCAGCCCAGGAGGTGGGTGCCACAAGTCCAGACTTCCCCAAGGGAAATATCCCCAGCACAGACACAGCCACTCAGAGCTCGCTGGTCTTGGAGCCTGAAGCTGGGCGGGGCAGGCAGTGCCATCCCTATCTGGATGGTGGTGCCTTCACCCTTCTGCTGTCCTGAGCAAGAAGAAAAATGAGCCAGGCTTCAAAGAGAGCTGTGCCAGAGTTTCTGGAACGCTTGCCAGAGTAGCTGTTGCCCACACACCTTCAGGCATGGGCAGGTGGTATGGGTGTCTTCACGGGATGGAGTTGGGGCCCTGGTGTGTGTATGGCCAGTACCCCCGGGGAGATGCTCGTTCACTCAGGGCAGCACTGGGCAGAGTGGAGGGGCCTGCACCCACATCACTCCCCAGGGACAGAGCCCTGGACACTGTGGGTGTGTCATTCAGACTGTCCCTGGCGTCTCCAGGACTCCTGTGGCCTCAGGACAAAATGACGGAGGTGAAACGAGCAGAAAGAAGGTTGGGGGAAAGCATGTGCCAGCCACAGGCAGGGGGCCTGGGGTGGGCAGGATCGGGAGGCTGGGCTGGATGGGGCCATGGGAAGGGGACGCCTGTGCTCTCGCAGCTGGGAGCTGGCTTAGGACTCTCAGATCTTCTGTGGCCTGTCATCTCCCCCTGCCTGCCTGTCACACGCCCACTCAGTCAGTTCCAGGGCAAGGAGGCTGGTTTTCAAGGCCTTTAGGAGATGGGGCCACTGGCCTGGCAGCCACGGGATGCTGAAGGACGGGCGCTCACCACAGGCAGGGACCCCGGGGCTCCTGGGGTGACGCTGTGCTGGACCGCATAGGCCACGCTCACCACAGGCAGGGACCCCGGGGCTCCTGGGGTGACGCTGTGCTGGACCGCATAGGCCACGCTCACCACAGGCAGGGACCCCGGGGCTCCTGGGGTGACGCTGTGCTGGACCGCATAGGCCACGCTCACCACAGGCAGGGACCCCGGGGCTCCTGGGGTGATGCCGTGCTGGACCTCCGTGGCCACGTTGTGACGGGGGCAGAGCCCCGAGGCTGAGCGGTGCCTCCCTTTGCAGGTTGTGCAGCCTCACTCTGAAGAAGCTGGTCGTCTTCAAGGAGCTGGAGAAGGAGCTGATCTCCGTGGTGATCGCCGTCAAGATACAGGTGAGGCCCCTGTGTCCTGGCTGAGACTGGGCGCCGTCGGCTTTCCACGTCCCTGGGAGACCAGTCAGCCAGTGTGCCAGCGTGAGGCCTTGTGCCAAAACAGATGGTAGCCCTTGCCATCTTTCAGCCCAGCCGAGGGGGTGGCGGGAATGATGGGACTGTGGTGCTCCAGGAGCACCTGGCCTGGCCTTCTGGGATGTGGAGGTCGGGTGCACGGGGCCTTCCCAGAGCAGAGATGCCCTTGGGTCACCTCACGGATGGATGGGCCCTGAGCGCCTGGAGCCAGGGCTTCCCTGCTGCACTCAGTGCCCACTTCCTGCCCACTCTCCATGGACGGAGGGCGTTGGTGGGAGAGAGGAGCCGATGCTCCGGGAGGCAGGGACCCAGCCAGAACTCCCAGCCCCTGGTGCCAGGCCCTCTCTTCTGACCCTAGTGGGGCCTGTGACCTCTCGAAAGCTTTGACCACGTGGCTGTTCCAGACGGGTTGTGCCAGTGTCTTCCACACACCTGGCCCAGGCCCCGCCCCCTCCATGGGGTAGAGCTGCCACGACCCTTGTGGCACTACCTTCTCCCCGTGGCCCAGCCAGGAGGTGTCCCCGCCAGCTGTCAGGGCGGTGAGGTTCCAGGTGTGTGGTCTGTGTTGGGCCACCTGCAGCGGCCTCTCCCTGGCCGGCACCAGTCATGGGTAGTTCTCACCCGTGTCCTCAGCTTACAGGAGTGCCCTTCTGTGTGGCTGTCCAGCATGACAGGGTGGGTCTCAGTGGCTGTCGTGCTCCTGACCCCACCCCATCAGCCCCTTGAGGACGGGGCCCTGCTCATGGAGCCCACGTCCAAGTCCCTGCATAGGTCCCTGGAGCTGGCTGGATTCCTGACACCACTGTGGCTCTGACACGGGGTCTCCGGGCCCCCCGGACCTGTGGAGCAGCACCGGAGCCCTGACCAGCGTGGCTGAGGTCACCAGCCAGCAGCGGGTCTGGAGTGCGAGAAGCCTGGAGGCATGTCCTTCCCAGGGGGCTCTCGCTGTGTGAAACCTATTGCGTCTTAAATAAACGTCTGGTGAAGCCCTTTTCCTCGCTGAAGATGCTCGTGGGTTAGCAGCAGCCTGCATGTGCGGCACATGTTGGTGGCCAGGTTCCCAGGTGGTGGGGCCTTCCAGGAGCGTGTGCCTGGTGGCGTGATGGAAGTGTCTCCCCACCCACCTGCCTGTGCCCAGGGTGCCCAGGAGCTGCTGCAGTCTGGCTGGGGGTCATCCCTGGGGCACGAGGAGCTGTCTGTGGGCTGTTGCCACCAGGCCGTAAGGTTGTGTCTGGGCCTCTTGGCTTGCAGGGGGATGGCAGGGCAGTCAGGGTTCTCACCGGTCTTCAGAGCAATGCAGAAAGGCATAAAGGCAAGACCCTTGCTGGCTTCTGAGTCTGGTGCTGTTGACCTCTAACCCCTGGCATGGGACCCCACCTCACAGTGACCCTGTTCCTTGGCCCCCTTTCTCCCTCTGCCTGTCTCTGGTCCTGCCCCAGGCTGCGTCCTGACTGAGAGCTTGGCCCAGGGCCCTCAGAGCCCCACCCGTCCAGCCCCTCTGTATCCTGTGGGCTTGCTGCCTATGCCCACCCTGCCCGTCCCAGCTCAGCACCCATGTGGCCCTTGGCCTCCCTTGCTCACCCCCAGCTCCTCACCTCTTCTCTCTTGGGCTGTCTTCTCTGCCCAGGTCCCCTGTGGGGAAGCAGCCAGCCTGGCCCCCGTAGCCCCACCGGCCCCTGTAGCCCTATGTGTCCTCGGCCTTCTCTGGCATGCACCTTTGCCTTCCTGGCTTGTGGCACATGCTTGTCTTTTCCTGTCATAGCCAGGTCCCTGGAGGTCCTCTAGGAGGATGCTGAGAGGGGCTTGACGCAGAACACATTTGCAGGGAGAGCCCAGACCACAACACAGGGGCACCCAGAGAGAGGAGAGGGGACAGGACGGCTGTCCAAGGAGAGCACCCGAGGTCCCAGCTCCAGGGCAGGACCAGAGCCCACCACGGGTGCCTCCTGGAGCCCGAGTGTAGCAAGCAGGCCGTGCACACCTGTCCTGAGGCCCTGCTGCTCCACCCGAACCTGGGCTGGCCCCCCTGCCCGCCTGCCAGCCACCGGGCACCCTCATCCGTTGTGTCCTGCACGCTGACCGCTGGGAGCTCGTGTTTGCAGCCCCACAGCACGCAGTCCCCGGGCTCATCCTTGTTGGGATGGCCTCTTTTAAAGCAGTACTATGATAAGCACGTTCAATCCATGAGGAATCTACTTGGATATAAAGTTGGCGGTTGGGGTCCTGTTGTCTTTCATGAGGATGATCCATTACCCATTTAGCACAGGTGTGCGCAGATGCCTCCTGCTGGCCTCAAGCTCACTGGATATGACCTCAGTGCCTTTTCAGGTGACCATGCATTTCCTGCATCTGCACCAAGGCTCCTCCTACCTGCCTCTTTAAGTATTGTCTGTATATTTTATTCTCTGAGAGGACCAGTCAGCCCTGCTCATTCTTCTTTTTAGAAAATGCCTTAGGCTGGCTGCAGTGGCTCCAGCCTGTGATCCCGGCACTTTGGGAGGCCGAGGAGGGTGGATCGCTTGAATTGGAGACCAGCCTGGACAACATAACTATCCCTGTCTGTGTATTTAACAAAATACATAGCACTTTGGGAAGCTGAGGCGGGCAGATCACCTGAGGTCAGGAGTTCGTGACCGGCCTGACCAACATGGAGAACCCGTCTCTACTAAAAATACAAATAAATTAGCCGGGCATGGTGGCGCACGCCTGTAATCCCAGCTACTCGGGAGGCAGAGGTTACGGTGAGCCGAGATTGTGCCACTGCACTCCAGTCCGGGCAACAAGAGCAAAATTCCATCTGAAAAAGAAAATACAGAAATCATTGTATGTTTTTGTGGTGGTACATGCCTGTACTCCCAGGTTACTAGCGGGACTGAGGCTGGTGACTGCCTGAGCCTGGAGGTCAAGGCTGCAGTGAGCTGAGATCGTGCCGCTGCCTACAGCCTGGGTGACAGAGAGAAACCCTGTCTCAAATGATAATAATGATTTAAGCCAAGCATGGAGGCACCTGCCTGTGGGCTGAGCTACTTAAGAGGCTGGGGCAGGAGGACTGCTTGAGCCCCGGAGCTCAGTCCAGCCTGAGCAACACAGCGAGACCTGTCCCTCAAAACCAAAAGCAGAAGAGGCTTGGTGCCTCCCAGATTTGTTCTTCCAGACGCACCTGGGCAGTGCCGTCAGGTGCTGCTGCACCTGGACGTGGAACCTGTTTTGTGATCAGGGCCACTCCTGACTTCTCTCTCAGCTCCTGGGGCAGATTCCTAGAGGTGGAACCTGTGGACCGAGGGGTCTCAGTATTTGTAAGGTTCTTGGGATGAAGCCAGGGCACCTCTGAGGATCACCCCGCCTGTGTAGCACTCCCCAGTTTCCCTCTGAGCATCACCCCGCCTGTGTAGCACTTCCCAGTTTCCCTCTGAGCATCACCCCGCCTGTGTAGCACTCCCCAGTTTCCCTCTGAGGATCACTTCACCTGTGTAGCACTCCCCAGTTTCCCTCTGAGCATCACCCCGCCTGTGTAGCACTCTCCAGTTTCCCTCTGAGCATCACCCCGCCTGTGTAGCACTCCCCAGTTTCCCTCTGAGGATTATCCTGCCTGTGTAGCACTCCCCAGTTCCCTCTGAGCATCACCCCGCCTGCACTAGCACTCCCCAGTTTCCCTCTGAGGATCACCCCACCTGTGTAGCGCTCCCCAGTTTCCCTCTGAGGATCATCCTGCCTGTGTAGCACTCCCCAGTTTCCCTCTGAGGATTATCCTGCCTGTGTAGCACTCCCCAGTTCCCTCTGAGCATCACCCCGCCTGCACTAGCACTCCCCAGTTTCCCTCTGAGGATCACCCCACCTGTGTAGCACTCCCCAGTTTCCCTCTGAGGATTATCCTGCCTGTGTAGCACTCCCCAGTTCCCTCTGAGCGTCACCCCGCCTGTGTAGCACTCCCCAGTTTCCCTCTGAGGATCACCCCGCCTGTGTAGCACTCCCCAGTTTCCCTCTGAGCATCACTCCACCTGTGTAGCACTCCCCAGTTTCCCTCTGAACATCACTCCACCTGTGTAGCACTCCCCAGTTCCCTCTGACATGAAGTCCTTTCCACTAGAACAGGTCTTGTTTCATCACAGGGCTCCAAACGGATCCTGCGGTCCCATGAGATTGTGCTGCCCCCCAGTGGACAAGTGGAGACAGACCTGGCCCTGACCTTCTCCCTGCAGGTGAGTCTTTCCCCAGTGGTGACCATGCCCTCTTCAGTGGCCCCCAGGGAGATGGGCACCCCCCATCACTGTCCCCTGGGGTGATGGGTACCCCCTCATCCGTGGCCCCTTGGGTGATGGGTAACCCTATCACTCTCCCCTGGGGCAACAGGAACCTCTTATCAGTGTCCCCTAGGATGATGGGGACCCTCATCACTGTCCCCTGGGGTGATGGGTACCCCTCATCAGTATCCCCTGGGGTGATGGGTACCCCCTCATCAGTGTCCCCTGGGGTTACAGGTATCACCCATCACTGTTCCCTGGGGTGACAGGGACCCCTTATCAGTGTCCCCTGGGGTGATGCGCACCCTTCAACACTGTCCCCTGGGGTGATGGGTACCCCCTTATCACTGTCCCCTGGGGTGACAGGGACCCCCCATCAGTATCTCCCAGGGTGACAGCACTTGTCTTGTCATTGCCACCTGTGTCCTGTGTTACTGCAGATCTTCTGTTGATTATGGTTTATTCTTAAATGATTAGAAAATTTGCTTTGGTTTATTAGGTTGAGTTTTTCATTCCTCATCTATGATAAAGAAAATGTAGGCTGAGCACAGTGGCTCATGCCTGTGATCCCAGCACTTTGGGAGGCTGAGGTGGGCGGATCACCTGAGGTCAGGAGTTTAAGACCAGCCTGGCCAACATAGTGAAACCCTGTCTCTACTAAAAATACAAAAATTAGCCAGGTGTGGTGGCAGGTGCCTGTAATCCCACCTACTCGGGAGGCTGAGACAGGAGAATCACTTGAACCTGGGAGGTGGAGGTTGCCATAAGCAGAGATTGCACCACTGCACTCCGGCCTGGGCGACAGAGTGAGATTCTGTCTCAAAAAATAGAAAGAAGAGAAAATGTAATAATGAGGGCAAAAAAAACACTGATCAAGTCAAGACTATTTTGCTCTTCTATTTAAAAAGACGGGAAAATATATGCAGCCTCAGTATTGTGAGTTCAGAGCCTGGAGTCTCTGGCTGCGCCCTGCAGCTCACACGGCCTGTCCACTTAGTGCCACCAAGCTCTGGGCACCTCTGAGGCCTGCCCTGGAGTGGAGCAGAGAGGCCTCCCCTGGACTGTCCAGGTGTTGGCTGGAGGGCCCACCCAGATGGCCACACGCCCACCTTTGTTTTTCTCTGCTTTATTGTGACGAGGTTGGTGTCGTGTGAGGTTGGTGTCGTGTGAGGCTGGTGTTGTGGCGAGGTTGGTGCTGTGTGAGGTTGGTGCTGTGACGAGGTTGGTGCTGTGTGAGGTTGGTGTTGTGTGAGGCTGGTGTTGTGGCGAGGTTGATTTTGTGTGAGGTTGGTGCTGTGACGAGGTTGGTGCTGTGTGAGGTTGGTGTCGTGTGAGGTTGGTGTCGTGTGAGGTTGGTGCCGTGTGAGGTTGGTGTCGTGTGAGGTTGGTGCTGTGTGAGGTTGGTGCTGTGTGAGGTTGGTGTTGTGTGAGGCTGGTGCCGTGTGAGGCTGGTGCCGTGTGAGGCTGGTGCTGTGTGAGGCTGGTGTCGTGTGAGGTTGGTGCTGTGTGAGGTTGGTGCTGTGTGAGGTTGGTGCTGTGTGAGGTTGGTGCTGTGTGAGGTTGGTGTCGTGTGAGGTTGGTGTCGGGTGAGGTTGGTGTTGTGTGAGGTTGGTGTTGTGTGAGGTTGGTGCTGTGTGAGGTTGGTGCTGTGTGAGGTTGGTTTTGTGTGAGGTTGGTGTCGTGTGAGGTTGGTGTCGTGTGAGGCTGGTGCCGGGTGAGGCTGGTGCCGGGTGAGGTTGGTGCTGTGTGAGGTTGGTGTCGTGTGAGGTTGGTGTCGTGTGAGGTTGGTGCTGTGTGAGGTTGGTACCGGGTGAGGTTGGTGTCGTGTGAGGTTGGTTTTGTGTGAGGTTGGTGCTGTGTGAGGTTGGTGCTGTGTGAGGCTGGTGCCGTGTGAGGTTGGTGTTGTGTGAGGTTGGTGTTGTGTGAGGTTGGTGCCGTGTGAGGTTGGTGCTGTGTCAGCTTGGTGTCGTGTGAGGTTGGTGTCGTGTGAGGTTGGTGTCGTGTGAGGTTGGTGCCGGGTGAGGTTGGTGTTGTGTGAGGCTGGTGTTGTGTGAGGTTGGTGCTGTGTGAGGCTGGTGTTGTGTGAGGTTGGTGCTGTGTGAGGTTGGTGTCGTGTGAGATTGGTGCCGTGTGAGGTTGGTGTCGTGTGAGGTTGGTGTCGTGTGAGGTTGGTGTTGTGTGAGGCTGGTGTTGTGTGAGGCTGGTGTCGTGTGAGGTTGGTGTCGTGTGAGGTTGGTGTCGTGTGAGGTTGGTGCTGTGTGAGGTTGGTGTCGTGTGAGGTTGGTGCCGTGTGAGGTTGGTGCTGTGTGAGGCTGGTGCCGGGTGAGGTTGGTGTTGTGTGAGGCTGGTGTTGTGTGAGGCTGGTGTCGTGTGAGGTTGGTGTCGTGTGAGGTTGGTGTCGTGTGAGGTTGGTGCTGTGTGAGGTTGGTGTCGTGTGAGGTTGGTGCCGTGTGAGGTTGGTGCTGTGTGAGGCTGGTGCCGGGTGAGGTTGGTGTTGTGTGAGGCTGGTGTTGTGTGAGGTTGGTGCTGTGTGAGGCTGGTGTTGTGTGAGGTTGGTGCTGTGTGAGGTTGGTGTCGTGTGAGATTGGTGCCGTGTGAGGTTGGTGTCGTGTGAGGTTGGTGTCGTGTGAGGTTGGTGTTGTGTGAGGCTGGTGTTGTGTGAGGCTGGTGTCGTGTGAGGTTGGTGTCGTGTGAGGTTGGTGTCGTGTGAGGTTGGTGCTGTGTGAGGTTGGTGTCGTGTGAGGTTGGTGCCGTGTGAGGTTGGTGCCGTGTGAGGTTGGTGTCGTGTGCGGTTGGTGTCGTGTGAGGTTGGTGTTGTGTGAGGTTGGTGTTGTGTGAGGCTGGTGCCGTGTGAGGCTGGTGCCGTGTGAGGCTGGTGCCGTGTGAGGCTGGTGCCGTGTGAGGTTGGTGCCGTGTGAGGTTGGTGCTGTGTGAGGTTGGTGTCGTGTGAGGCTGGTGCTGTGTGAGGCTGGTGCTGTGTGAGGTTGGTGTTGTGTGAGGTTGGTGCCGTGTGAGGTTGCTGCCGTGTGAGGTTGGTGCCGTGTGAGGCTGGTGTCGTGTGAGGTTGGTGTTGTGTGAGGTTGGTGCCGTGTGAGGTTGCTGCCGTGTGAGGTTGGTGCCGTGTGAGGCTGGTGTCGTGTGAGGCTGGTGTCGTGTGAGGTTGGTGCCGTGTGAGGTTGGTGTTGTGTGAGGTTGGTGTCGTGTGAGGCTGGTGCTGTGTGAGGTTGGTGTCGTGTGAGGTTGGTGTTGTGTAGATTGTGCAGGGCATTGTCTCTGGCTCCACACACTTGCTCTAAGGTTAATAGCCTGCATGTCCGCTCACTCCAAATTCAGTCGAAGCCCTCTTCTCGGTGTAAGTGTGTGAGCCTGGCTGGGGCTCCGTGAGGTCTGTGAGGACCTGCTGGGCTTGGCCCTGGTTTTGAGGCTCCCAGCTGGTGACACAGGAGCTGGGGTGTCCTGGTGGATGTCACCAGAACAGCTTCTGGATTTTAGAGTGAGTGTTTCTCTGTCTTGAGGAGTCAGGTTTATGGAAGGTAAGTACACAGCGCTCTGTGGGTTTTTTTGAGATGGAGTCTTGCTGTGTTGCCCAGGCTTGAGTGCAGTGGTGCGATCTTGGCTCACTGCAGCCTCCACCTCTCGGATTCAAGCAATTCTCCTGCCTCAGCTTCCCGAGCAGCTGGGATTACAGGTACCCGCCACCATGCCCAGCTAGTTTTTGTAGAGACAGAGTTTTGCCATGTTGGCCAGGCTGGTCTTGAACTCCTTACCTAAGGTGATCTACCCGCCTCAGCCTCCCAAATGCAGGAGTGAGCCACTGTGCCCAGCAGCCAGGGCTCCCTTTTTTTTTGGTGAGACAGAGTCTTGCTCTGTTACTTAGGCTGGAGTGCAGTGGCACAATATTGGCAATCTTGGCTCACTGCAGCCTCCGCCTCCAGGGTTCAAGAGATTCTTCTGCCTCAGCCTCCCGAGTAGCTGGGACTACCGGCGCTCGCCACCACACCCAGATAATTTTTGTATTTTTAGTAGAGGCCAGGCTGGTCTTGAACTCCTGACCTCGTGATCCACCTTCCTAGGACTCCCAAAGTGCTGGGATTACAGGTGTGAGCCACCACGCCCAGCCCCAGGGCTCCTTTTTCAGGTGGATGGTTCAGTGGGTTTCCACAGGTGTGCATGGGCATGCCAGCGCCACCACAGTTAAGGGGTGGACAGCGCATCTTCCCCTAAGTATTTAAAAGGATTTTTGTTTATGAACTCTTACTTGTGAACATCGCTCCATGCCCACCGCTGGAGCCCTGCTGGACAAGGGCCCTGTGGGGAGGCGTGCAGGAGAGGCGGGTGCACTGGGGCCTCGGGGCGGGGGGAGCACCGCCTGTCCTGTGTGCCCCTGTGCCCCTCGAGGGAGAGCGTCCTTTCAGATGGGGAGCCCTGCCCGCCCTGTGTGCCCCGTGCTCCCCGAGGCAGAGCGTCCTAGGTCATGCCTCGCTGATCTCGGCGGATGAGCCGCCGCCACTGCACTGTTCTGAGCATCCACCGGTGCTCCCGGCCATCCCGGACACCGCCGCACTTAGTCCTCGTCGAGGCTGTTTGCGTGGAGCGGGGCCCTCGGGGCGTGAGCCCTAGTGACTGGCTCACTCTTGGTTGTGTTGGGTAGAGGAAGGGCCCTGGGGACCGGCACGCCCTGGAATGACCTCAGGGGCTGTCTGTGGGTGCCCTCCTGACTGCGGGCAGCAGGTTGACCTGGCTGCAGGGTGGCTGGGCCGTCAGAGGGCATGGTGCTGCCCGGGCCAGGTGCACCCTCAGCCACAGCTTGCGCTTGTGCCTACAGTATCCTCACTTCTTGAAGAGAGAAGGCAACAAGCTTCAGATAATGCTGCAGCGCAGAAAGCGCTACAAGAACAGAACCATCCTGGGCTACAAGACGCTGGCCGCGGGCTCCATCAGCATGGCTGAGGTGAGTGCTCGGCCGGCGTGGCCCGCGTTGGGTGCCAGAGCATCCGCACGGTGGGGGTTTCTCTCCGGGGATAGATGTCCGGGGACCCAGTGAGAACGATTGTAGGGTCCAGCCCTATGGGGTCCTGTGAGCCCCTCTCTACTGGTGTGGAGACGAGAAACTGTGGAAATAAAACGATGGACACATGATGCCGAGATAGAGAAAGAGAAGTCTGGCCCCAGGGGTCGACTGCCAAGCAGTACACGCAGGAGCCGGTGGCGCCCGAGCGCCTGGACACCCTGCCTTTTACCGAGTGCAACGCAGGGGACAGGGCAGGTAGGGTGAGGCACTGGGGTCAGTGACAGCGTCAGTAAGTCACGTGTCTTAGAGAAAGGCTCAGGGCTTTCGGGTACTCAGGGTGAGGAGAAAACCTAATGCATCAGCACTTTTTCCACATTGTCAAGAAAGGACAGAGACATTGAGATGCATGCTACTCTTACTGATTCCATCTTCCGAGAAAAAGAGGAAACAGGTAAGAAGCGGAGCATGAGAGTGGGCAGGGAACGTGACCGCCGAAGCACAGCACCACGTGGAGACAGTCAAGCCCCGGATGTCTGTCGGCCTCCCTGACAGCCGCCAGGCCCACCGCAGGAGCTGGGGGAGTGGTTTTCTCCTAAGTCCTCCGAGACATCTGAGATGTCTCCTTCCCTAGCTGGCTGATCAGCGGGCACTTTCCCAGTGCTGGCCCTGCCGCACGGCCGAGCGCCCTCCAGCAGCCCTTACGCAGGCGTGACAGAGGGCTTAGGGCGTCTTGCCTTAGGGTCACTTCTTTCAGGGTGGCACCTTAGGTTCACGCTTCGCAACCCGAGAACAGTTAGCAGAATTAAAAGGTTATACTGCGTATATATATCCAGGTATCTCTATCTGTGATTGCTAATGAATAATTATGTGATTATCGAACTCTTTTCTATTTCGTTATTTATGTGGGAATGGGCTGAGGCTTCAGACCCTCGCCTGGCACTTCGGGGTCTCACCCACGCACAGTAAGGGGCCTGGCGGCTGGGCTCCGTCGTGGTGCTTCCTCTCTGACCCTCCGTCCCGCCCAGCATGGCTCCCCGTGTGCTGCAGGACCGCGAGCTCCCCTCTCAGCAGCCTGCCCTGCGCTTCAGTGGAGGCTGGGTTTTGTCGGGCTGCTCTGGAGCCCTTCCCAGGAAGTGTCCCTGCCATCCCCACCCCACTGGTGCCTCCCATGACTGGTCCGTGTCCATGTCCTGCTCAGCACGTGCTCTGGCCTGGGACTGGCTGAGCAGGAGCAGGACAGGCCTTAGCTCTGGGCAGGGGCATCTGCAGATACCCCAACAGGGCGGGAGCAGTACCCAGAGGTCAGAGGGGGTAGCTTGAGGGGGAAGTTCCCTGGAGGGGAAAGAAGGGGAAGCCCCTCAAAAGGAAAAGAAACAGCCAAGCAGCAGCCCCCCTGTCGCAGAGGACCCAGCACTCCGAGGAGGCTGTGTGGGCATCGGGGCACAGGAGAAGACACCCAGGTGGAGGCCTCGGACTTTCTCAGGAACCCTTTGGGGCTGCAAGATTGGCTCTGGGAGAAGGGGCATTCCAGGGCCCCCCGTTTGTCTCTCGCTTCGGAACTTTCCCTGGTGTGGGGTTTCACTCGGGTGGGGGTTTCGGACGTGAGTGGTGCTTGTGGCATGTGAGGCCGTGTCGCTGCCTGCCTAGGGCCAGGGAAGGTCAGCCAGGGCAACCCCTCATGGGGAGCCGGAGCTGCCAGAGACCCCAGCCCCTCTTCATCCCGCTGAGTCCCCCTGTTCCTGGGGTGCAGGGCCAGGACATTCGGGGTACCCACCTGTAGCAGGTTCCCCCACACCTTTCTGGAGGCTTCGGGCCTCCTGTCTCCCAGGTCCAGCCCTAGGTCCCCCGGATCCTGACACACCCCCACCTACCCACCCAGGACAAGTGACAAGCACCGTTCTGGGCTCAACCCCTCCCCGCTGCCCAGGGAGATGGGAGTATGGAGGGTACAGAAAGCAGCAGTGGGGTCCCGAGGCGTTGCCTCTTCCTGTGACCACAGGGCCTCACAACCCTTGCCGTTTTCCATTTTCTTTGGCATACCGTGGGCAGCGTGGCTGGACTGGGCCTCCAGGCTGCACTTTGCAGGGCCCCAGGACTCCTCTGGTGGCCTGGAGCTGCCTGTCATCCCAGCCTCCCTCCTGCAGGCTGAGGACAGGTGAACAGGTGGCTCAGCGATGCTGTCAGGGCTGTGAGAGCCTTGTGGGAGCCACTGAAGGCTTCCTGTGGAGCAGAGGGGTCCGGGCACTGTCAGAGGCATGCAGGCTCATTTCCCATCAGCCATGCAGGCAAAGTCCCTGTGAGCTCCTGCCCCCGACGCTCCACCCACACCTCTCTGCTGTGGCTCCTGGGCTGCCAGCCCTGCCTGCACGTCAGCACGTACCCGCTTCTCCCGCCCATCAGCGCTGGTGCTCCTGTGTTTGGCACCCTTGCCCTGGACACTGGCTTCTGCTCCCAGGCTCCTCGCTCACCTGCCCTCCCAGCCTTGGGCTCTCCCCTGCTGATCCCAGGGAGAAGCTGGAGCGACCTTCCCCCACGATACTGCAGCCACGCTGCCTGCTGCCTGAAAACCCAGCATCTGTTCTTTGCTCTTGGAAGAAAGGCCCCGCCCGTTGACTTAGTCCCACCCCCACCCCAAGGCTCCCTGCCCCTGCACCCATGGCTTCCAAAGCCGAGGTCATCAGCCTGCCCCTCGCTTTTCCCTCCACTGGCTCCTCCAGGCCCTCAGGGCGTCCCTCCACCTTCCACAGGCACCTGGTCCCAGAACCTTGCTGGGCCCTCGCCTGTGTCTCTGAGCACTGGGCTGTTCACGTGCTCACTGTGTCCTGCCACCTTTGGGGTCCCCACCTGTGGGCGCTACAGTGTGCTGAGAATGAGCACAGGAGATCGCAGGGGCAGGACAGCCCTGAGGGCACAGACGGAGGCAGGTGGAGGGGCAGGGGTTCTCGCTGGGTGGCTCAGGCAGCTGTGCCGTGGGGGCTCGCTGACTCCAAGGCTACACACCTGAGGTGGGGGTGACGGCACGGATGTCACCATGGGGACTGTTGTGAGAGTGGGGTGTTGGGTGGCTGTGCCATGCATTTGAGAGGACTGCTCAGCTGGAGGGGAGGGTTCTGGAGGGCACAGTGCGGGGTGGTGCAGGCTGTTGGGTGGAGCTGAAGGCCAGGGCTGGGAGTGTGGTGGGAGAGGATGGGGGCGGTAACTGCCCAGGACTTCCGGGCTGCGGGGCAAGCAGGAGGCGATGGCTGTGGGGACACAGGGATTACTTCCCTTCAAATGACTGCACACGCAGGGGGCAGAAGGGGCTGGGAGCAGCCTGGGCCTCTGCCACACCCTAGCTCTGCCCCCACTGGGCGCTTGTTACAAGTTAGCTGAAACCCAGAGCCCAGCCTCTCCAGCCCTTACTCCAGGGTGGCCCAGAGTAGGGGCTGGACCCTTTGTGTGCCATGAGCTGGATGCCGGTGTGGGGTGGCTTGGGTCTGCAGGTTGACCAGCAGTTCTGGCTGAGAGCATCAGGAGTGACTGACCACATCCTCAGAGCCTGCTTGGTGTAGGGCTGAGGGCCCCACAGGGTCGTGGGGTGTCCCTTATGCTGTGCTGAGGCGCAGGGTCCGAGAAATAAAGAGACAGGACACAGAAGTACAAGGAAAACGCAGCTGGGCTCAGGGGGCCACGCCACCTATGAGCGGAGTCAGGAGAGGCCCCGAATGTCCAGAAGCATGAGTATTTATTGTGTATAGGTTAGGGGGCAGGGCAGTGAGTGAAATCATCTTTAAGGACAGTGATAGGGCGTGAGCAATAAAACACGGGGTCCACCCCCATTAGGTCACCTAGGCCAGAAGGCGGACAGTGCACAGCAAGGGGCCCGTTCCCAGGAAGGCAAGGGCTGTGCGCAGTAAGGGGTCCACCCCCATTAGGTCACCTAGGCCAGGAGGTGGACAGTGCCCAGCAAGGGGCCCGTTCCCAGGAAGGCAAGGGCCGTGCGCAGTAAGGGGTCCACCCCCATTAGGTCACCTAGGCCAGGAGGTGGACAGTGCGCAGCAAGGGGCCCGTTCCCAGGAAGGCAAGGGCCGTGTGCGGTAAGGGGTCCACCCCCATTAGGTCACCTAGGCCAGGAGGTGGACAGTGCCCAGCAAGGGGCCCGTTCCCAGGAAGGCAAGGGCTGTGCGCGGTAAGAAGTCCACCCCCATTAGGTCACCGAGGTTTGAAGGTGGGCCGTGCGTGGTGTGCAATACTTCTATCTATGGGCAAACTACTTCTAAGAAGATTTATAGGAGGATGCTTTAAGTCACACAGCAGTGACAGAGCTGTCAGGGTTACCACCACCTTCTGGCAGCTTCCAATGGGTTCTATGGGAAGATGCTTTTCAAGCAGCACAGTAGCAAGAGCTGATAGAGTTCACAGTCACCAAGGTGGATTGCACGTTGGTCTGAGGGCAGCCTTCACCAAGAACTGGAGCAAGGTCCTCCAACTCCTTTACAGGAGGAGTGGCTCTCGCCCCAAGCCTGCCATACAGCGGGTATCTTTACAATACTGGACGCTGCCACCTGGGCCATGGATCCTTGTCCTGGTATAACTGTTTTTCCTAAATCATGCTCTGCACTGTGTCTGCTCTAGGCATTCCTCCGATGATAAGCTGCTTATTCCCTAATTCATGCTCTGCACTGTGTCCGCTCTAGGCATTTTACATATTTATATACACACACATATATGGAAATAACTGAGTGGTAAGATATTCTTTAGGCACTCATTCTATGAACTAATATGTGATTATATAGAGAGGATTATATAAAAGGAAATAACTGAGTAGTAACACTATAAACAGATATTCTCCAAGCCCTAATTCTATAAACTAATATATGATTATATAAAGGGTAATATAGAAGGAGATAACTGAGTAGTAACACTATAAACAGATATTCTCCAAGCCCTAATTCTATAAA